TGGAACACATGGCTGAGTAGGTCATGGTCTGAGATGAAGCTGTGAGTGGGGCGCCTCATTAGCTTGGCTAAGGAACTTGCTCTTTTCACTGCAGGCTGTGGGAGACGGTCTGGGATTTTAGGCCAAAGTTGGTGGTAGTCAGATTTCCATTTTAGAATTCTCTCTGACAGCAATGGGGAGGGTGACTGGCTTAGAGTTAAGACCCAGAAGCAGGAGACTATTGAGCAAACCACTGCAGTAATACAGATGGAAATAGGGTATAAGCAGTTGAATGTTTCAGAGTGCTAGAGATACTAATACAGACTAGTCTGCATGTACAGGTAGGGAGATAAAGGAGAGAGTATTGGGGTAGTAAATAATAATGGGCATTTTGGGGAACCAGCAGATGTGGAAAATGACAAGCAGAATCAAAGGACTTGATCTGTCAAGAAGGTGAAGTACCTGGGACCACTAAGATTCATGACTTGAGTGGTCATCACTGAGATGAAAAATACGGGAGGAACAGATGTGAGAGAAGGGGTAGAGGGATGGCTGAGACGATGACTACAGAGTCAAGTTTGAGAGCCCAGATATGAACAGTTGGAAGTTGGAGTCGGGGTCTGGAGCTCAAAGGAGAAATTGAGATTGAAATATAGATCTGTAAGTTACCACTTAGGCAGGTTGTATCAGCGAGGAGAGTAAAGGAAATCACATACACTAAATGTCTGGAATGAGAAGAGGGCCCAGGGATCAGTGGCTTCACCTTGATGAAGGGAAGGGGCCTTCTGGGAAGCCACAGTCTAGCCAGGTGAGGAGCACAGCTTGGACCTCTGCAGCCCAAGCAGGAGTTGGGAACCCTAAGGCCGCCCACTCGAGCTTGCCATGCTTTGACTTGTATGTAATTCTGCACAGAGGATGACTGCACATTTTACCTCTTTCCCGGCTAGGGGTGACTTCAGGACCCAACCCCATCACTGTGGAATGGGACCCAACTGATCAAATAATTCTGTAATAGCCACAGATGGGGCTGAGTTCGGGGTCCCCCTCTGACAGAACACAGATGTGACCATGTTGTTGCTGGTGCCTGGTTACATATATTAACAACTGGTTCTTTTCAAGCTTCAACTCGATAAGGAGTTTCCTCCGGGAAAATACAAATAGTGCCCCAATGGGAAAGTACTGTTTTCCCACTATCGCCAGTTCCTACACCAGCATGCTGGTCCGTGTGTCTCAGAACCAAGACTCCACCTTGCCTCATCCCCTAGACCCTGTTAGTCCTGAGCCTCATCAATTCTGGTTGTGGTATTTGTTCTCTTCTTTCCATTCTTATTGAAAAAACCTAAGCTGGGGTGAACTTGTTAGTCCATCCATCCCCGCTACAACCTAGGGTGAATGCAGCATCCTCCTAAGACACTTAGTGATCTGCTGGCCACTCAGAGCTCAGCAGACTATGACTGTAGGCTAAATCTAGCCCACCAGCTGTGGCTCTAAATAAAGCTTTATTAGAACAGAACTTACACATTCATTTATGCGTTGTCTAAGGCTGCGTTGCACTGCGATGGCAGCGTGGCATAGTTGCAATAAAGACTATATTTCCCGCAAAACCTAAAGTGTTTACTATTTGGCTCTTTACAGGAAAGGTATCCCAACCCCTATTAACCCATCCTATACACCAGTGCCAGATTAATGTTCCCAAAATGCCATTTCACTATATCACTCTCTCGCTGAGAACTTTGCAATGAAATTGCATCGTCCATACAGTAAAACTCCAGCTTCTTGGACTGAGAGGCCCTCAGTGACCTAGCCCTAGCCAGTATCACAAATCATTACTCTCTATTCCTAAAGGCAAGCCCTTCACCCAAGTTATATTTTCTTCCTCATTGTTCCCGGAATATGAAGTACACACAGCCCTTACGCAGTTCTCTTTGCCTGAAATGCACTGCTCATTAATCCCTATCTACCTAATTCCTACCCATGCTTTAAAGAACTAACTTAAACCTGCATCTTTCATGATTGTATCTGTTCACAGTGACCATCAACGTACCTACTGTTTGAGCATGTAAAGATTCACCGCTTGAAACATCTGGTAATATTTCTTCTGTTCAAGGCATGGTTCACCAGTGTGATGGTGGACCATGCCCTGAACATGGCTTGGAGTGAGGACTTTCCTTGTGAACAAGGGCGCAGAAGTGGGATAGCCTAGGAAGGGTTCGCAAATGACCGGAAGTGTAATTATAGTACTGCCTTAGTCCATTCAGGCTTCTATTACAAAATACCACAGACTGGGTAGCTTATGAACAACATAGTTATTTCTCACAGCTCTGGAGACTGGGCAGTCCAAGATCAAGGCTCTGCCAAATTCGGTGTCTGGTGCAGGCTGGCTTCCTGGTTCATAAACAGTGTCTTCTTACTGGATCCTCATACAGAGGAAGGGGTGAAAGAGCTCTCTGTGGACTCTTTCAAAAGGGTACTAATTCCATGCATGAGGGCTCCATGCTCATGACCTAATCACCTCCCAAAGTCCCACCTCCAAATTCCATCATCTTGGGGGTTAGGTTTCAAAATAGGAATTTGGAGGAGGACACACATATTCAGTCTATAGCAAACACACAGTACTCACTTACCATTTATGGAAGTATTCAGTCATCAGCATCTTGTATTCTTGACATGCTATATCTTGGTTCTGTATTTAAATGTAGGACCATTCATATCTTGATAGTCAATGAGAATGAATGAGAAAGTCCAGCAAACCTACTCTTGAGGAACCCTGGACTATAGAGACAGTGGCTGGTTCTGGGGGTCCTTGCTTTTTCATGTGCTAACTCGGAGTTACTGGATAGGTGAACTTTCCTCACCGGGCTTCACTTTTCCCACCTACTGTCATGTATTGTATGTTCTTGGACATACTCTGGGATTAAATAGCATCAATGAAGCACCATTGATTGGAACTTTTTGATCAACGGTAAGTTTCTAAAATATTCACCAGCCTCACTTTGGCGAGCAGATTGTGTCCCTGACTTGGATATCCTGTCCCAGAAATATTGTAAGATATTTTGTAAAGTCTGTGCATTGCACAGAACTGGGTTATAACACAAATTATTACTGCGTTTTTTTAAATAACAGTGGTATGAGCACATCCCCGGAAGTATAGCAATGACTTAAAATAAAAGCTTCTGTTACCACAAAGGACAGCAGCCAGCCTTCCACATCATTATCTCCTCCAGGATTCGGCTGCTGTGCTGTAAAATGCCATTATGTCTGGTCTAACAAGTTTCTCCCCGCATGTGTGAGTAAAGCAAAATCATTCAGTGCAGTAAATGTGTCAGTACCCCCAACCCTGTGCACTTGGAAAGGAACACAGTGAACAAATAAGCTCTCCTAAGGGAGAGCCTTTCTATTCTTAAATTAACCACATTCATATGATGTTTTTTCTGTAATAATTTTCTTATTTTTCAGTTACAGTTGACATACAGTATCATATTGGTTTCAGGTGTACAACGTAGTGATTAAGTCTTTATATAACTTATGAAGTGTTCACTCTGATAAGTCTGGTACCCATCTGACACCATACGTAGTTATTACAATAGTATTGACTGTATTCCCTATGCTGTACTTTACCTGACTGTTTTTATAACAGGCAATTTGTACATTTTAATCCTGTTTCCTTTTTCACCCACTGCTCCCAACCTCCCTCCCATCTGGCAACCATCAAAATGTTCTTCGTATCTGTGAGTTTATTTCTGTTTTGTTTGTTCATTTATTTCATTTTTCAGATTCCACATAAAAGTGAGAGCATATGGTATTTGTCTTTCTCCATCTGATTTACTTTGCTTAGCCTGATACCCTCTAGGTCCATCCGTGTGGTTGCAAATGGCCGGGTCTCGGTCTTTTTTGTGGTTGAGTAATATTCCATTGTTTATAGGCACTACTGTCTCTTCTTCATCCATTTGTCTGCCAGTGGATACTTAGGTTACTTTGATACTGTAGCTGTTATAAATCATGCCACAATGAACATAGGGATGCATATGTCTTTTTGAACTAGTGTTTGGGTTTCTTTGGACAAATACCAGTCATATGATGTTTACTATTTACATTTGCAAAATATGAAGAAAAAAGTATGAAATAGAAAGACTATGCTGTCAATATAAGGGAGATACATCCCTTTATCACCAATTCCTAGACATTACCTAGAAGTAGTGTATGGCAATAAGAATGACAACAAGTAACATTTATTGAGTGTTTACTATGTGCTGGGCATTGTTCTTTACATGTATTATGTCTTTTAAGACATGCCTAGCCTGTGGTTTAGGTATAGTTATTGTCTCTTCTTTATGCAAGAGAAGACTTAGACCCAGGAGGTAAAAGAACTTGCCAGAGGTCACACAGGTAGCAAATGGAAGAGCTGGGAGTTGGATGCAGGCAGACCACCCCCAGAGTTCATATCCATCAGAACCTCAGCGAGCCCCACCCACATGAAATGCACCCCTTCCCACAAGGGTAGTTGTAGTTGAAGAAAGATCACCCACCCAGTTTGTATAGCTTGGTATGTGCACGTGAAGGATTTGTCCTACAAAATGTGAAATTACCTTGGATTGTTCATGTGTATAATTTTGATAAAATAAGTCTACCGTAGAATTCCCACTGTTCTATTCTATCCTATTTGCAGTTTATAGCAGCCTCTGTGTTTTCGACGGAGACGTTCTTATTCTTTGTCTCCGAGTGAACACTGCACAGACCATGACTGTGTGTGTGTATGTGTGTACACTGCCTTTTCTTCTGGATTAGATTGTCGCAGCTTGGCCGAGGGAGGATTTCTCCCACTCGCCAAGCCCACAGCAGACATGTTAGGAGAATGCTGCTGCTTGCAACACAGCCAGAGACGGAGGGGCAGGTGACACTGCATGTGTGCCCAGCTTCCCGGGAAGTGTCTCTCCAGATGTGTGCCACTGCTGCTTCCTGCCGTCAAATTCCTGGAGCCAACGCCCACCCGCTCTTACAGCCTCTCTCTCTCTATTTTCAAGGAAAAAAGAAAGAGGCAGACTGAAATAGAAGGCAAGCGGCAAGAGCTGGACGAGCAGATACTTCTGCTGCAGCACTGCAAGGTAAGCGGCCGGTTCACGAGCCTCTCCCATGATTAGACATGCAGCTCACCCTGCGGAGAGCTGGGCAGAGCCTGCCGTGGCGTGAAGCCGCCGGCTGAACCGGCTCGTTTTCATTCAGCCAGGAAATCATTGCTGGGCTTTCCTTGTGAATTTCCCACGTTCGGAGCGTTGTTACAGCATTCCCATTTCTGCCAGCATGATGAGATTATAGTGTGCGTGTGGCCAGGTTGGGGGGTGGGGTGCATGTGAAACGTGGTGGTTATTTATAGGAACTGGAGGCGAATTTCCACATGGTGGGTGAAGGAGTGTTCCGGGGCTGTGTCTCCAGGGCACGGGTGCTGTGTGTGTTTGTTCTGAGGTTCCCGCAGATATATTTAATGTAATGCTCTGTCTTACCATTAAAAATAGTAGTAATCATCCTTTCTGGCTATGGAGAAGAGGGAGAAAACAGCAGTGTGCTGAGCCACCCTGTGAATTTCCAATTACTTATTTGTTTTATCTCTACTTGTACAATTTCAAAAGTGTTCTATTAGAACAAGCAGTCTGTCCAAAGACAGCATTGAAGTGATGTGACTTGGAAGAGCCTCCATTGCACAGAGGTAAAGAGGGTGCGGGGGTGGGGAGGGAGCACAAGCTGTTTATTTATTTATTTTCCTTGAAAACATCAGGCCCTTAAGCACCGCAATTGATTACAGCCCAGGAGAAAGCTCTGTCACTGTCACTGGGCTTCCCTGGTCGCTTCCTGCAGGCTGAGGAATTATGTGAACTCATTCCAGGGGCCCGCCCGGCGCTGCTGCTTTCCCGGGTTCCAGGGCTCAGCTCTGGTGGCCCTGGTGGTGCAGGTGCACGTGCGAAACTGCGGGGCTCAGGGGCTGCTTGGGGGGGTGGGGCTGACTGGCAGGGTGGTGCTAGCTCGGTGTTATTTGAATTCTTTTAAACAGGAGGACCCGTGTGGTGGCATTTCCCATTCTTTTCTGGAAGACAGGGTTGTGCTAAATGAGTCCTCAAAATGTAAATCATGAGGCAAGCAAGCTGCTGATTTCAAAGAGCAATGTGACCTAAATCTGCTTAGCCTATTTATCAGTTGTCATTAACTCGAACCAGAGAAATGTGTTTAAAGGGAAGCAAAGCAGCGTGGTACTTTCTCTGCTCATCATGTAAATCCATTTTTGGACCTTTCTTTGTAGGAGCTTGCAACATGCCCCATATGTCCTCGCTGCTCTTTCCTTAAAACATTCCTTCGGGAGGATGGAGGGCTTAAGTTAGTATCCTCTCCTCACAGAGAGGGGGGCTGAGAAACACTCAGCGGAACCAAGTGAATCGTTCAAGGTCAATCTGGACAGAGCTGCATCTCTGGCTCCGAGTACAGTCAACTCCTTGTAAAAGGGCAAAATGTACTAAAACCTCAGTGCATTCTTGGACAAAGGTGAGCTTGTTAGTAAGGAGGCTGAAAGATGAGAGGCTGTTTTTGACTAGACGGTCTCTCTCCTTCTTAAGGTCAGTGTGATTCTTTGCCTTTGCATTCCTTGAATCAAACTCAGGCAATAAGTGTATGTGAGAAGGTCGAGTTTCTTTTGTCCAGCTTCTCATTATTCTGGGTGCCAAATGAGATGCTGAGGACCCATTCATTACTGATGTCCAGCACAGTGTTACAGCATTCTGTTCATATTCTGTCCTTCCATTTTTTATCCATCCCCTCATCTCTGCCTTCCTCCCTTCCCATCCCTGCCTTTCTCCCTCCACCCATGTATCCATCCATGTTTTCATCCATCCAATCTACAAAAACAATGCTAAAAATGACAATATTACATGGGGAAGTAGTGAGATTTCTTCAAGGACTTGGAAACAAAGGAATCAAATAGTTCTTAATGGTTATCCAGGTACAATTCTCACTTACTATGGCTATCTAAAAAAACATGCAGGACGTTCGCCAAGGTAAACTTGCCATAATGGCAGTGGGGTAGGGTGGGGAGAAGGGACTGGAAGTGATGGTAATTTAATAAGCGGAGACCAGTGCATTGTAATTTTCTCTCTCTGGAGGAAGACCTGTGTGGACAGAATGAGGGTGGATCGCTAGTCTTGAACAATGAAAAGGGAAAGCTCAGGGCTCCCAACATTGGTTTACCTGCTGCCACCTCGGAGACAGACCCCCCCAACTCCAGGAGGTACTAGATATCCACACACGGGTGGGTGGGTTCCATGGTGAAGAGAATCATTTGGCCTCCCCCCTGACCCCGGGCGAAACTTCCCTCACAACTCTCCCTGTTTGTTCTGACTCCAACCTCCCCCAAATAAGTGAGTTACTTGGACACAAGGAAGGCGGTGCCCAACTGAGAGATACAATCGCTTCAGGCACCAGAAAGGAGTATGTCCTATTTCAGATCAGTTAAATGTTGACTGAACTTGACTGGTGTGAATCACCTTCCCTGTCATCATTCAGTTTTGAACTTATTCCTAGGCTCATTCCTAGGGGGCAGTGAACTCACTGAGGTTCTAGTTGCTCTGTGAGCCTCTTGCTGGAGACTCAGCCAGCTTGGTCCTGGCAGTAGACAGCCTTGTCCTCCCCTTGTCCACCCTCAATAATTGTCTTCTTTTTTGAGTGTCAGATATGTGCTTGACACTTGAAATACAACTGCTCGTTAATGACCACAAAGTAGATATTACTCTCCCTGTCTTACAGGTAAGGAAACAAATTTGTGAGACCAAGTAACTTGCCCCAGAACTTAGAGACAGATTAAACCCTGGTTGAACCCTGTCTGCCTCCATAACCTTTCTTTCTCCCAGACACTGTTTTTTCCCAATGAAATGTTTCCTTTTGAATAATTTGTCTAAATGCTGATTACCATCATCACACTTATTTACCATCATTAGCCATCACATGTCTTTATTCTAAGTACACGGTCATGGACTCCAGAAGAGTTAGACCATGTGAAGACATGCCACGGTAATTACTGGTGGTTCCTTGAGGTAGAAAATATTAGGAAGTATGTCAGTAATCAATATTTATGTTTCACCAGTTTACAAAGTCTGAGATGGCCCCTAAGAAATAAATATTCTCAGTGCAAAGTTAAATTAAATGGAAAAGCAATATAATTAGATTTCATATTTATTAAGTTATAATTCTCATGCTTGAATAGTCTATGGACACTTATTCTCATGCAGTGAGATGTGAACAAGTTAGACAAATTCACTGACCTCTGGTCAAAGCAAATAAATAGAAATCGAGACCATAGTTTTGATACTCGTGTGTTTAATTAATATACTTGTTAATTATATAGTACAGAGGGCTATGCAAGGAGTAAGTCCACAAAGTAGAATATCATTACTTTATGCTCATATATGGACAATGAACAAATGCTGTAGTGCAATGAAGAAGCAAAGTATGAAATGCTGAAGTATTAGCTGCCACGGCCTGGGGGTTATGATGCCTCCAGGTACTTGGAAATCCTGGAATAATCAAACTCAGATTTCTTCTTACAAGATCCTTAGCTATATTTGGTATCTAATATGTATGATGTAAGAATTTCTAAGAAATGCTCACATGTGGGACCAGTAAGCAACTTTAATAGCTTTATTATTTTTGCTGATTATGAAAGGAAGGAGTGTATAATCATTGCAAGAATGAGATTTAAGAGTACAGGAAAATAGAGAGAAAACATACCAGCTGTATACTCACCACCTAGATATACCCTACACAGATGTATTTTTTTATGTTTTTCCCCAACATGTTTGTATAGATTAATATCCATATACCTCCTATTCACAAGCCTCATCATTCTATGAGTAAAATGAAACTATATTAACATTTGCATTGACCTTGACCTGTTTTTTTTTTTAATTTTTGTACATGGGCTCTTTTAAATTCTCGTACAAAACTTTAAAGTTTTATGACATGCTGTCTAACATTCCTTTAACGGAATGATTCCTGGTTTTGATGTTATCCTTGGAAAGAATCTCTCCATTTCAGACACTTAACTACGATGTTTCTTATCCTTCAATAGGTTTAGTCCAGCTAGAATTTATTTTCCCATAAGGTATGAGGTAGCTTCGCTTTTTACTGATGGTGAGCCAGTTCTCTCGACATGATTTATTGACCAATTCATTCTTCCCCTCGCTGATTTAAAAGTCTTCTTGGTCTCATACCTATTCCTCACGTATCCTCGGGTCCACCCTTTGTGGATTCTTTCTAGTTCATCGGTCTGCCACTCCTGGGCCAATACCACCCTCATCCAGTCCCTCTAGGTTTTTAATGTAATATCTCATAAGGCAAGAACTATTCTTCTTCTTCTTTTGAAAAATGGTCTCGGCTTTTTACTCCATGTAAACAATTTTTATTGCTTTTATTATGTGGCTTGTGATAATGTGAGTTTAAAAAAACAAATAGATCAACAACTGTGTTCAACCAGAGCAGACTGAGTGTAATATCCCCTTTGCCTCATGGCTGAATTGCCAGAGATTTGTCTATTTTATTGGTCAGTTCAAGGTCCCAGCACAGTACATACTGTCACATGAATTCCTGTGGGACTTGCACATTTATAAAGGTTCGTGTGACAGAGGAAGCGTAGTCAGAATCAAATTGCTCATACCACCCCTTCCATACATAAGCGGCCTTTGAATTATTTATTCATGAGCAGGGAACTCTGACCAGAGTTCTTCTCTAATCCAAGCTATGAAAATTGTCATTCTATTTTTAAAACCACAGCCTTTTCTTTCAAGAAGACTGACTGAAAAAAATCAGACACTGAATTTTGACCCTGGGAAATGTTTATTGTCAATCTACCAAGGTCATTTGCTGAATAGCCTGAAGGTATCAGGAGACTCGCCGTAAAGATGCTACAGCGTGTCTTGCTCCTAAGAACCTTTAGCACTAATTTGAGAATTTTTTTTTTTTAGTGTATGTGAAAGGCCAATTTCAAATTTTAAATTATTGAACAGATAGCCAATGTACACAGCATAAAGGGACTTTATGTCTCATCCTTTTTCCTATTGTGCGCCCCTGT